TGAGAGTGAAAGTAAGAGATCATCCCCCAGGGGAGATGGCCACACTGCAATCCCCTCTCCTCCACCCTCCTCCTGGGATCTTGGGCATGCACACACACATACCTGGTGTGAGTTTAAGCCACCAGGTCCGGCACTCGAACTGCGGTTGACTACATGGGAGTCCAGCAACATAGCCATTATGCTAACTGCTGGTCCCAGCCCCAATATGTTTCTATTGATAGGCAAGTATTCTATATTCTGTAGTCACTCATACCCTGAACTATCCTTCTGATACCCCGATCCTTCTGACTTCAAGTTCAGGGCAATGAAACAGCGCAGTAGGAATGAAACAGCACAGGGGGAAAAGCAAGGCCCTTTGTCCCCTCGAGCCCTTTTGAGAGCAGAACTATGAAGGATATGCAGTAAAAAGATGGGTCTCTTTATGTGCCCACTGCAGTCTGCCCACCGTGGGCTAAGTCCCGAGAGGAGGGGTTCGAAAGCTGTGAGATGCAGTGGTCTCTGTGACCTTGCTTTGTCCAGTGTTTCCTACTCTTGCTATGTGATAATCTCACCACTGGGAAGGCGAGGGAGTCTCAGAGCACCAGGGAGAGGAAAAGGGGTGGTGGGCCACTGCCTCTGCTGTTGTGGGCATTTGCCCTGCAGAAACAGAAACCAGCCTGTGGGAGCAGATGGCACAGCTCTCCTGCTGCTTAGATTTGAATTGAGGGAAGAAATGGAAGTAAAAACTGAAATCCATCTGACTCTCTCAAGACAAACATAAAAAGGGACTTTGGTCCAGGAGGTGGTATGGTAGTTAAGGTGCTGGACTCCCACATGGCCAACTGCAGTTTGAGTAATGGACCTGGTGGCTTGCTTTCTCTCTTCCCATCTCTCCCTGGTGAGTACATGTGCCTTATAGCAAGGGCTATTGCTGGGATATCATGGCAAGTGCCCAGTCCAAGAAAGCCACCGTCACGTCCTGTAGGCAGAGCCAGGTCCGGTGGGTAGCCTCACTGAGCTGAGTCTTCACGCAGTCCCACGTCACCTCACCTCTGGGAGGAAGGAGCACATTTTGGGGTCAGTGTACATGCAGGTGTATCAACTCAGTCTTCAGCCCATGGTGGCCAGGGATTAGTGAGATGCAGAGCAGTGAGGGCCTAGACAGTGAATCCCTGTCCCTGAGGGCAGGGAGAGGGGTCACTGGGGATCCTGCT